GCAAGACTTCAATGCTATATAATGATCTTAAATTTAACCAAATAAAAATTTCCGATATTAAGTCTATGGCAAGATGTCCTGAAGCAAACGGTTTCATGAATCCTCAGAAAAAGAAAGTTAAGGCTAAAAAGATCAAACACCAAGTGTTCACCATACCTTTCAGACAATACGTAGCGTTTATTAACATGCAAGTACCATTTGCTTCAAGATATACAGGTTTACCTAAACTTTGTTTCAGTTTTTTATTTTAATGTTTTAAACTTAAGGTTACTTGTGGATCTAACACAAAGTAACCTAAAAAGCTGGTCAATGCCACAGAAAAGAATAGTTATTAACAATAAAAAAACCTGGTTGAAGTTACACTTTATTTCTAGCTATCATCTTGACTTTTGAAATCACCATTTAGGTTTATAATTAGCGTTATTTGTCACCAAGTGGCAGAATTCTCATACTTGATAAATAATCTTCTATACTAAAATATGTACCAGCATATCTGAAGAAGTTACTAAAAATATGCAATTTATATTTAACTGCTTTCAATAAGCTGAAAAGTACAATGTTTAGGTAGTCTAAGAGGAAAAATTACTTTTATTTATGGTTTTTGCAGTTTCCAGAAGAGCTAGTCTATATTAAGCCAGTCTTGAAGAAGAAATAAACTGGTCTTAAATCTATAGAACATAAAATGACTTTGTTCTACTACTAAGATACAGACAATACTATACCCATCTCCAACACTGCTTTTCCCATGCCTATGCAGATGCTCTGTCATAGTTTTTCAAATGTTTTTTTGCCTGCTTAATATAAAAGCTGAATGACTTTCTTGTGAGTATGATTTCAGAAGACCCTCTAATTATGGATATCATTTATTGGGACATATTTTAATTAATGGAAGATAATTCATGTACTATAAGATTTTCACTGTTTCTCTCTACATTTCATAACATCCCAATTGGATGGAGGAAGACTGGAATAGTTCAGAAAAATCCAGCTTTTAAGATCAGATAAAGTTCATAGTGAGTCTTTTAAAATACATTTAAACAACCCAAAGTGTAATCACAACAAGGGACTATAAAGAATGAAAATTGCAAAGGAAGCTTTATAGTCAATGAAAATACAGTACTTTGAATTGTCCAAAATGCACAATGCACAAGCATTCTAAGTCATGTAGTTTACTTGTTGACCATCCAGCTATGGTTTAGTTACTGCTTCATAAGAAGTACCTAGTAACTTTCCAAAATTCTTTTTAAATAACGTTCTTAACTTGTAGCAATAAACAAAATGACAAGATACACTTAAACAATACTGCAGTTTATCAAAAGACATAAGAAATTTCAACTCTTATTCTTGAAGAGTTATAAAAATCAATGTTTTGGCTAAGTTATAAATATGTTTATAATGCAATTTGCATAACTCTAGTAATGCTAATAGCGGCTATATGATCAGAATAGGTTTTTTAAAAAACACTAAAAACATAAAAATACTTAGCCCCATATTTACCTGTAGTATGTGTTCACTTATGTCTAAATTTCAGCATTTACTGTATCATCATTGCTCTACTTTTAAAAATCACATCCAAAGGATAAGGCAAAACCACCTACGAATTGGCATATTTGTTTATTTGTTTGTGAAAATGTCCTTAATTTGTTGATGTAGCAAACAAATTTCAACCCTGATTGCTATGCAAAAAACAGAAGATAATCTGCTTTGCAATGAACTTTATAGTTCAATTGCATACAGGCAACATGCTATATAGGAAAAAATTACTAACTGAACTACAGGTATTAAATACTGAAAAAATTAACAGTTTATTATAATTTATTTTATTTAACAATCTAGGAAGTTCGCAGCCATGAGCAGTTCCAGTGCAATTTCAGGTGCAATTGGGAATTCAGGAATCTCCGTGGAGCTGTTAGTGTAGCGAACCTTGTAGGTAAAATACATGCATACTTTTGATAGCACATGTGAAGGGATCTCTCTAAAATTGACCTCATTGGTTTCGTTCTCAGCAAACTGACCTGCAAAACAAAAGAATTATGGATGTTATGGGTTGAATTGTGTCCCCCTAAAATATGTATGTTGCAATCTTAACCCCTAGTACCTGAGAATGTCACTGTGTTTGGAAATAGGGTCTTTAAAGAGGTATAATTAAGTTAAAATGAGGTCATGAGGCTGGTAATCAAATTTGATTGGTTGTCCTTGTAAGAAGAGCAGATTAGGACACAGACAGGGATGGAGGGAAGACCATGTGAAGACACAGGGAGAAGGTGACCATCTACAAGCCAAGGAGAGAGGCCTCAGAAGAAAGCAACACCTGCCCAGCACCTTAATCTTCAACTTCTATCCTCTAGAATTGTGAGAAAATAAAGTTCTGTGGTTTAAGCCATCTGACCTGTGGTACTTTGTTATGGCTGTCCCAGCAAACCAATAAATGTTAAAAGAATAACCCCAATTAGCATAAAATGAATTCTCTAATTCTGATTTTTGAGTATCAACAACATAAAAATCTTTATTAAGATAGCATTTGAGGCCAGGCGCGGTGGCTCAGGCCTGTAATCCTAGCTCTCTGGGAGGCCGAGGCAGGCGGATTGTTTGAGCTCAGGAGTTCGAGACCAGCCTGAGCAAGAGCGAGACCCCGTCTCTA